AGCTGGAAAAACCATCAGCCAAACTACATTCATCTACCTTATGAAATCCAATTAAAACCTTTTTTTTTTTTTTTGCAACAGATCTGTCTTAACGGCCAAATCAGATTTCAATCTTTTTTTAAACATCATTTAAAGTATGCAATATTGTCCAGGGCTGTTCAAACACACTAATTTTTACTATGTAAAATTCACTATGTACTGAATAGTGAATGAGTGAACGAGACAGCAGTTTTAGACAAAATATACACATGAGTGCGTAAAATGTCTCTGTCACTTATGTTCTCTCAAGCGTCTTGTGAGTTCAGCACTGCAGCGAGATGTCATGATAGATCCTTTGCATGCTGACAGCTATTCTCTTGGCATTGCGCTGATACTTACATCATTACTATAGCAACCAATGCAGACACACCGGATATTAACTACACTGTCTGAACAAAAGGATCAGATCACACGTAAAATGAAAGTGCGGACCATCAGACCTAAAGATCGGATTTGAAAACCAAATTGGATTTGTGAATAGTGTGAACAAAGCCTTAGTGTATGTGTACAAAACAGAATGAGATTCAGTAAGAGAAAAGCTTTTATAATGAAGCCTAGGCATGGGCCGATTACTGGTTTCAAGGTATACCGCGGTTTGAAAATTTCACGGTTTCAAAACCGCTAATATTTTCCGTTATACCGTTCCTGCGGTATGCGCTCTGTTTTTCATGTCTCCTCAAAGACTGAAAGTGTAGGAATCCCTTAGGTTGAGTGCAATGTAGAGAGTAACACGACCCTCCTCCTGTTGGTGCGAGCTTTTTGCTTCAAATTGGGTTATTATTAAATCAAATTATGTATATGAAATTATATAACTAAATTATATGAAATGATATAAATTATATGTATATGAATTATATAACTAAAATTAAATAACTGTAATTACAGATTTAGGTTAAATAAAGATGTTAGTCTTTATTTTTCTCCTTTTTAGGAAACAAATCAAAGAAAAAATAAACAAATTCTACTGTTCCTAATATTCTGTATGTTGCTCAAAAACAAAAAATATTGTGTTCAGCGGAAAAGTTCTCTTTCTTCTTTTTTACCCAGTCATTTAAAAATAACACATTTTAGAGCTGTAACGACAATACCATGATACCGTGAAACCGTGATATTTTTGCTTAAGGTTATCATACCGTCAAAATCTCATACCGGCCTATGCCTAATGAAGACACTTCATTAACATATGAAATGAGTCCCAGGCAGGAGGGACTGCAGAACTTCCACAGAAACAAATTCCACAGAACTGAAAAAAAAAAAACTATAGGGGACTGATAGTCAAGGCCAAGACAAAGCTAGAAAGAGAGGCGAGAGAAAAAGAGAAGCTTTAGAGACTACCCATCAAAGTAAAGCTCAAACTCTAAAACTTTCACAAAGTTTTCCATATTCTAAAAGTGAGATATGAAAAGTTGATCAAAAAGTCACTTTATGAAGAGTTCCTTCACACAGTTCCTCTTATTAGGCACCTCAAAAGCCAACTGACCACCCAGGCAAAATAAAATATAGATGCTAAATTAACAATTCATTTGTTTAACAGAAAATAATTTGGAAGAGCAAAGTCATACTACACACTGAGCAGAGGAGATCAGTACAAGTTCACTTAAGAAAATGTTTATTAATATTTAATAAAATGAATATACATTTATTATTTATATTTGAAAAAAAGTGTAATGTTTTTACATTACACATTACACTGAATTACTATTCATCAGAAATCCTGAAAAAAAATGTATCACTGATTCCAGAAAATGATTATGGTGCACAACCTTTTCAACACTGACAATAAATAACAATTTATACCAATAAAAACTGCTTAGAAACCAAAACTGAGGTGACCGTGGTATGAATGAAGCTGAATAAACATGCCAGACTCTGAACTCTTTATCACTGTTTATTTTAGGCGAATATTGTGTCTTTAGGTGGTCTGAAATTACTGATAGTTAAAATTCTCTATACCCATTTCCAATAAAGCCATAATGTATTGTGTACTTGATCACCAAAAACTTTACGCTGTCCTTCGGATTGTGAATATACAATTACAATATACAATCCCTATGATTTGAAATCTCACTTAAGATGGACGAATACCATGTTAAATCCACTTTGCAGGGAGCTACCAGCCAAATGGAAACACACCCCCAAGGCTCATCCTCTGTCTTCTCTCTGCACAAGCTCTTTTTGCAAACTCAAGCTCAGCTCTGTCAGCTCTCATTCATCTGACTGAAGCAACATCACAATGTGATGAACTGCAAAATGCTGAAGAGCAATGAAAACAAATAGGGATGCACCGATACCACTTTTTCCAGTACTCACCCGATACCGATACTTTTATTTTTGGTACTTGCCGATACCGATATTTTTATTACGTTTGTACATTTTTTAAATATTGGGAACAGAAACCAAAAGAGTATGTATAATGTAGGGCTGGGTATCGATTCAGATGTCCCGATTCGATTCGATTTCGATTCACAAGCTCTCGATTCGATTCTCGATTTTTTTTTAATACATTCAGTGAATATAGTTTTAATACAAATGCTATTGATATTTCTAAAAAAAAAATTAACAGTAATAACTTGTAATATATAATTATTCACGGTATTTAGAAGAGCCCACGATAACAATATCGTGCATATTAATTACCGTGATATATCGCATTACCGAAAACCGGCACAAGTCTACCCCAGATAGTCACGCAGTGTGAAAACAACAGCGATCTGACGAGTTTGAAAATCGTGCAGTGTGAACTCGCCATTAGTCGGGCAGCCCTTAGACTTAATGACAGCCTGTAGTCTCCAGCTGTCACCCAGCTTCATGCAAACCTGAACTTCAATTTTTTTCCCAGACTCGGTCTGAATAATTTTTGGT